ACACCTAACTGTTTCCTTTCCTGCAACCATGAGCCCTGATTTCAAGCCGTCGCAACTTCACTTCCGCAACACCATCCTATTTCTTTTTTTATCAGGCAAAGAACCCGCGGAGATCGATAGACGTTTGAGGGAGTTTACGTTAAACTTGCTCTCGCTAGATGCACAATTTGCAAGTGGCATTCGAAGTTCACTTCGGACGTCTATTCCATCGAGATGAAGACCGTCCGGGACTCTCAATGGAGTTGGATTTGGACGTGCTGCGCAGCCAGGTGGAAGCCGATTTGTATCAAACTACTCGTAAGCTGGCAATCACTCTTAGGGAGTTTTTCGTGGATTAAAGTCAATCGGCAAGGTGCGAAAGCTGGGTCGATTGTGCCTTATGCTTTGAAGCAGTATAGCAGGCACATTCTCTCCTTACGCTCAAGCGCAGGAAACGGTCAAATGTATTCGTTGAATTGTGTTTCGAAGAGCCTTTTATACCCTATCTAACTACGCCTCGCGCGTCCATTTTCGTCACCTCTTTCCTGTGTTATGATCTCTAGAAGTCATCACTATCACATTGTCCGAGGACTTATGAGTCAACCTGATAGTTGTTTTTACACTTAGGCCATTTTATTATGCCTGATTAATCTCGCGAGATAATCGGTTAATTACAGAGCATTCCAAAGATTCTGTTGGTGATGGATCTCTTACAGTACAAGGCGACTCTTGCCTAGATAAATTTGTTCTGGATCACGTTACGGTAGCAAATGATTTGAAGAAACCTTCCCACCAGTCATAGGTGAGAGGTATTGCTTTCGACAAATATGACTTTCCCTTACAAAAGATCTGGATATCATCAGAATTTTCATACATCCTGTAGATCTAAAGCAACTTTGTTGTTGTAGTTGTTGTTGTGATAGCAACTTTCAGCTTCACTGGAAACAATAGTTCCTTGTTAACTCTTCTCTGTCTTCTGCTACATGAAAGCAAATGCAATACAGTCAGCACCAATGCAAGCGAGGAAATCGATAAAAATATTCATTTGGTGCAAAGTGGAGGTGAACAATCTCAGAAAAGAAGTCACAACCCGGAGAAAACACAACAAAGTAAGCATAGCATCAGAGAAAGAGCGTAGAAGTTGGAGAAGATCTTCTTCATCAAGTCTTCAAGCAGTGCAATGGCATTCGGCTCCATGGTTATTTCCACTGATTTTGAATCATATTTGAATAGTTCGTCCATCCATCGTTTCCGGTCGCTTTCATCTTGAAATGCAAAAAATTGATGGAAGCGAAGCTGACGAATAACGTTGTATATCATAGACATACGTTGATTTTGTTCGTGATATCTTTGATTCGTCGCCGTTTCACCTTCACAAAGTAGATTGTCGACAGAATCGGTAGTAATAGCGTGTAGCAGTTGAACAACTTAAGTTAGAAATTCATAGTCATTTGAAAACTTATTACTCGCAACAATACAGTTATCCACAATTATTTATTATTGGTAGAAATTCCCCCATGTCTAGTACGCCAGTGATGACTGATGCTGAGAACAATTCTATAGAGGAAGATAAGTCTCAACTTTCGTTCCGATGGATAGTAAATCTCATCCATATGTGCTGTAAGCTTGGGATTTCCAGTCTTTGGATCTTCTCTTGAGGCTGTAATAAGAGATAGCCAGTAGTAACAATAGGTATCTTTGCTACTGCCCTTTCCCCAGTCACAGCAATCAGCAAGAGCTGCAAATGTGTTCTCGAAGAGCATACGAAGTAGTGTATGAGCCAGCAACTGGAGCACCCAAAGCCACTTTTCAGAAACATTGGGACCATCTTCATTAGCACTATAAGGTCCAAAGCCACCTTCTGTTTGCAAGATTGTTAGTTGCTGTAAAATGCCTTCACACTTGACTCACATCAAAGTTCTCCCTGAATGCAAATCGCAGAGGATTATTGGATTGGTAGCTTCGCAGGTATAAGCCAAACATCTGAGCAAAAAACGAAGTGGCGAATTGAAGAGAAGATATCATGAAGAGGAGGTTCGATACGATTGCATTCTCGTTTGATTGAAATTTCGATGATAATGTCATCCTGGAAATAATTTGTTTACGTACTTCGTAGTCGGGAAAGTGAGCGTTCGTCACACTACGGCTGCTCCCAAATCTGCACAATCCATGTTCTCAAGATTCCTTACGTTTTCCTTCGCATTCGGCTGAAGATGTACAAGGCGATGGTTACGAGTAGGGATATGAAATTCAGTATAAGCAATGTCAAAATCACCACACTTGACTGTGGATAGGTAGTGCTTGGCATCATACGAGCATTCCATTGGGGTGCATCGAATGTCTCACCATAGTACATTATATAAGTTGAGCAGCAATTGATTAGCACCTAGACGAGAAAGTGTCTAATAGCTTCACTTCTAAAATCATCGGAATGAAACGATCTTGATAAAAGGTTGATCACGTTCGAAGGAATCGAGGGTCGAATACAGCCCGAACAGTACGGAAACTACACTTTTTGCTGGGCTATGTAGACCTGTCGGATCCTTTCTCATGAAAATCGCAATGGCCACTACTCCTATTTCTTCTCGGTAGCCACAAAGTAAGTACGTTGCGCCACTGTGTAGCTCAATTTTAAACTTACCGTTGCTGCAATTAGTGCCGGTCCAAG